ACTATGTATAACACACACACAAAATCTGTCTTTATTAGTCAAACACTCATTTGTTCTACCTTGAAAACCATTGCTATAGAGTTTTCCTTTTTTTTTTTTTTTGAATATCATATGACTAGAACTATACAATCGCTATTATTTTAGGTCTGAAAAATATTCCATTATATGACTATTACACTGTGTTTCAGTCAAATGGGGATGCTATAATAAACTATTCTAAACTTAGTGGTTTATGAACCACAGAAATTTAATTCTTATGAATTGGGTTCTGTGACAAGCTCATATTTAGGCTACAGAGTGTTATCTTTTTTTTATACCCTCACACGGAAGGAAAAGCGGGCCATATAGCAATCTAGGGTCACTTTTGTAAATATATTAATCATATTTTATGAAGGCTGTACCTCATGAGCTAATTCCTTACATGATGGAATTTTATGAGTCAACATGACTGAATCAAACATTATTTCTGGGTGTGTCTCTCAAGCATTTTCTGGGGTGGATTAACTTTTGATAGCCATCGCCAGTGTAGATAATGTCACCCCTATCATGTGGCTATCATTCAATACTTTTAGGACCTGAATAGAACAATAAAAAGTGGAGGAAGGGCGGTAAACTTGCACTCTGCTTGACATGTTTATTAAACGAAAGTAAGAATACCACCAAGTAATTGTTGGAGCTATATAGGATGATTGTTAGGAGGAAGGGATTCCACAGTGCCATGAAGGGGAAAGGTGGAGAGGATTTCAACTCCACATCCCAGGAGGGTGAAATATGGAAGGAAGCAGTATGGATTCCCCCCACTGCCCTCGTTTGCACCCTCAGGAGGAAGCGGATATGTCCACGGGTGAGTTTGGGGTAAGGAATGGAGCCTGATCTACTTCAGTGAGCAGGAACCTGTGCAATGCTTCCTGCAAAGTTGAAAATGAAAACTCTTAACGATAACACAGTCCCAAGAAACAAATGTTGATGATTGCAAAGTACCATGCATGAGAACTTGGACAGAGCCCAGGGACATTCCTCTCCCAGAGCGCTGCTGTTTCAGTTCCTGGAGTCACTTTCCACACCCACCCATTTCTCTTTGTCAGGATAGTGCTTGCACTAGTGCTCCTCTGTAGTGTACTGAGCAAATAAACTTTGATTTTTATTTCTTTATTTTTATATTATTTTTAGATATTTCTTTTCCCCATCACCATCCCTTATGTCTCCTTGACACTTCTCCCCTTGGTCCTAACCTCAGAGCCCTCAGGAAGTGGGAGGTCCATCTTCTCCTGAGCCCAAGCATCTGAACTACTTGTTCTTGAGTCTTCATATTTGTTTGTCTGTCTTTCTGTTTGTCTGTCCAACTGTCTATCTATCTCTCCATCTAGTATCTATATATCATCTGTCATCAATCTATTTATCTATCTACTTATCTACTATCTAGCCTGTTAACATTGTGTTGTGTTTTGTTTTTTTTTTTTCTGGAAAGCTCAGACAGACTAATACACCTCCCAATACCATCACAGAGGGGTTTAAAATCTTAACGTATGAATTTGGGGGGACACAAATATTCCATACATTGTACGAAGTGTAACTATTTCTTGGTTGTTTTCAGTTTGGATGATTATGATTAAAGCTCCTACAAAAATTGCCACAAAAGATTTTCTGTACATATAAATTTTCAGTTTACATGGGCAAATACATAGGAGTATGATTGCTCAGTCATTTGGTCATAAACTTTATATCTAAGTTCGTAAAAATTTGCCAAACTATTTTGCAAAATGACAGTACCGTTTTGCTTTCCTACAAGCAGGATAAGTAAGAGTCTTTTTTGGTGTATATCCTCCCCAGCATTTGATATGGCCAGATATTTTAAAAAATCAGTACTTGAATTAGGGGTTAAATTATATTTTATAAATAAGTGTTATTTTGTTAGCAATCTAGTTTTATCTCTATTGTTTCCTGATTAAAAGTTGCAAAATTTTCTTATTATACTTGATAATTTGAAATTTTGCCAAGATAACTATTTGTATCTATACCCTAATGATTTTTCTGGTAGAAATAACCAATGTACTATGGTGGAAGGTTTTGATTGCTTTTGTAGTGAATGGGATCTGGAAACACATCTGAAGAGGTGTGGACTTATGCCCTTAAATAATATACAGTGTTATAAACTAAACTGTACTACAATTAAAAACTACTACAATTTTTTAAAAAAGAAATACTTAAATCTTTCATAAGATCTTAATTTGTTCTTACATGCATGAAACTTTGCTTTTCTTACACCCACACTAGTCTGTTTGTGGAACATCTGTTTATGGAATTTAGGTCATCTATTTCTTTTTTTCTATCTTTTTTAAATTTTTCTGATAGCTTGCATTTCTTTACCTTATTGCTTTATGCTTCATGAAAACTTTTCAAGGGAGTCTCTAATCACCATTTTTATTATAATCAATGTTTCCCCAAATTAATTGAGTTTGTATGGAGCTTTTTGTTTATTTTACTTATTTTAATAAAGTAAATATACTGAAGAAATTAAATAAAATTATAAAAGTAGTAATCCCTTTTATTTTTTATTGCAGTCCTTTGTCTATGAATATCTGGTCCCCTCCTCTTGCTTTTTGACTTGCTTATTTTCTTCATATCATTTGCTAATTTGGGATGATCTTGTCTTGTTCAGAAATGAAGTCAGTTTGTTAGCGTTAGTATCTAATATAACTTCCTTTCTCATGTTTCCAGAGTATTGCTGAGTTTCCACTTACATAGCTTCCGTGAGCAAGTTGGTGTTTAAAATGTTTTGTGGCACTGGGGTGGAGGGAGAGGAGATGACAAATGACTCTAAGACAGTGAATAAGCTTTTTTGTTGTTTTTCTTAAACTGAGATGCAGATGCTGGGAACTTAAAACAACAGAAATGTATTGTCTCGATATTCTCAGTCTTCCACATTCCTTCTGTTTCCTTCTGGAGGGGCTTCCTCCTGAAAGCAGGGGCCTGAGGGAGGATTCTTTCCATGTTTCTGGTGGTTGCCAAAACTCGGTAAAAGTTAGTGTGTAGATGCATCACTCAAGTCTCTGCCTCTATTTTAACATAGTGTTCTTCCTTATGGTTTTGTGTCTCGGTGTTCAAATTTCCTTTTACTTAGAAGGACACTAGTCTTATTAGATCTACAGTGCACCCTAAGAAAATGCAACTTTAGTTAATTTGATCACATCTGTAAAGACTGTATTTCCAAATAATTTTACACATTCTGAGTAGATGTGATTTCTTGGGAGCTACTATGCAACCCAATAGAAGTGTCAAGGAGTTAATTTCACTGCTATGTTAAGCTGTTTCCCCAATTCTTGTATTTTCAGTGGCAAGTAATTAGACATTATTGGTCTTTTCTCATTGGCATGTGCATATGAGGAGTACCAACTCAAAAAGCCCTTCACCTGTGGAAGTTTAATCCAGTAAAATCTGGTCCAGAGGTCTGTGCAGCTCACAAATTGGACTTTAATCTGCCTTTCTGCAAATTGTCCCAGACTCCCCCTGCTCCTCTGAGATGAGAGGGGAAGACTCTGGGAAATCTTTTTTTTGCTGCTTGGATGCTTTGCATGTGTACTACAGACTCACTTGTGAATGTGAAATAATTTCCTTTATAGGGCACAACATACCTTAAGGTTTTTATTACATTATTGGTATTTTCTCCTGTTTTTCTGCACTTATTGAGGTGTTTTTTGTTTGTTTGTTTGTTTGTTTATATTTGTTAAGTTCAATTTACCAGCTTCATGCAGTAAAGACAGTCCCTTGGATCTCTTACAGGATCTCTTACTCTTGTGCGCTTACTTAGAAGGTAGTCAATATATGTTTTTTATGTCCAAAAAAGGCAGGTTTGTTATTTAAAAGGAGAGTAAAAGACACTTGGACTAATACAAGAAAGCAGAAAAAGCTGCCCCTGCAAGGGACAGGTTTGATGAAAGAGAGGCCTGTGTAGTCACAGGCGGGCAGTCTTGGGAGGAGAGCATTCTCTGCTGCTTACACAGTCACAGATGGGCAGGAGACCTCTATGTATTTTTTAACTGAAGACATTAATTAGGCTTAAGTCAATGAAGAGAATTGTTGAGGCTGGAAAGCCTTACTTTTATCTCTGAAAACCTTCCTTGTATTTCTGAAATCACACAATACCCTATGCTGGGAAAATTAAGATGGAGAAGAGACTACAGGAAAGTATAAATATATATTGAATACTATTTTGTGACAGGAAGTAAGAAAAGCTTCGAAAGTCATCTAGCCCTCTTGCATATTCTATTAGATCATGATTTTTCTCACTTTATACATAGAAAGCAAAATTATAGGAATTGAGTAAGTTTGTCAATTTTATGTAACTACTAAGTGATAAAATCAAGATTCAGACTCAAGTCTTACTGAATCAAGATCTGTTTTCTTCCTATTGTACCTTCTTACTGTTCCTGTGAGGTAATGTCCCTTCTCTGAAAATTATTACCATTACTTGCATTATCTCATGACTCACGAATTATTTCCGCAGAATATATGGCCAACCCTGACTCAATTATTCTATGAGATCCCATGGTAAAGCCAGTGTAACTCACTCAGAGGCTAAGGAGCACTGGCCACATGCCATGGAATGACGTGGAATATGGGCCATGAGAATTTCCGTGTTTGCCCTTCACCAGCTAGATTTTATCCACCAGCTTGCCGACAATTTGCAATCAGTTTGTATTCCTTTTAAGCAAATGCTTGTCATTTTTAATATTTCAGGGATTGTTTTGTGCAAGTTCTGGACATTTTAGGGAAAACTAAGAGTTATATCATGTACAGATCTTTATCCTCCTCAGGAAAAATGAGATAGCTTTGTTGATCAGTTCAATGGCAGTGACTAATGTCCTTGGGTCAATAAACTCACTTTGACCATGCTGAGAAGGGGAAAAAAAGTGGTGTGAGAATGAAAGTATGAAAGCAGGATGTTGAGAAGAGGTTAAGGAGATGATTTTTTTTTTTTTTTTTTTTTAAAAAAGACATACTTCTTTCACTTGAGTTCGAAGCTGGTGTTTCTCAATCAGGTAAGGAAGTTTGCTGGCAATTTCCATCCAAGGATTGTAATGATCTGGAAGTTCTTTCTGCATTCAAAATAAAAATATCTCAGTATTATATACCTCTCAGGGAAGTACCTTCATTGAACAGCTGTAAATATTGATAATCCACTATATAGTAGGCACTGCAGGTACAAAGAGGACTAAAATACAACCCTGTGCTTAAAAAGCACATGTTCTCGTAAGGGAGAAAACAAATGTTGTCAGATATATTCCAACACAGTGTAATATGTTCAATTACTGAGTTGTACATAAACTTAAGCACTTGCAAAAAGAAGGCATGATTAATTCTGTCAAGGGTTGAGGGTAAAGGGAAATATTCATGGAAATATGATGTTGGGACTAGATTTAATGACTGAAAGTGACTTTTCTTGGTGGAAATTTGATGTGAATGTAGCAAAATTGATAGAAATAACTATACTTCTTGGGACTACAAATATTTCAGCATGACTAGAATATAAAGCTTAACCGAAAGGAAGATGGAAAGTGAGACTAGAAAATTAGATCAAATTCACCTTTTACAAAACTTTATTTTTTGTAACGTGGTGACACAGTTCAATTGGAATTTTAGCATGATAATCTTGCTCATGGGTTTTTAATATATAAAGTCAGATTAGAAAACTTTTGAAAAGCTGTTCAAGGACTAAACTTAGTCAATGACAGTGAATTTGGGGGAAAAAAAGCATATTCAAGAAATATTTGGAAAGTAAAAGTGAAATGATGTGATTATTAACTTTTAGAGGGGCAGGTGGGTGTGTGGGGATGGGGAGAGACCAAAGACAAAATGATCCCAAATCTAATTGTAGCTCTATGTGCCCACTCTGGGCCCATGGTTTAGTCAAGTAGAACATAAAGACAGATCTCATTAACCCCGACTTTATCCCAGGAAACTGGAAACTATACTTACTGTTGTAAATAAATTTTAATTGGAACATAGTCACATTCATTTGCTTGCTTAATATCTATAGATGATTTTGCATTACTGAAGCAGAGTTGGGCAATTGCAACAAAAAATATATGCTATACAAAGTTTAAAGTATTTATTGTTTAGCTCTTTTCTAGAAAAAGTTTGCCAACTCCTGCTCTATCTCTATAATCTGGACCCCATTCTCTGTACAATCTGTACAGAGGTACAATCTGTACAACTGAACATTACTATTTCTGAGTTAAGAAGAAGAGGAAATGAGGGTTATTTCCATGTTCCGTGTTTTGTGACTTGCTGAATTAGTGAGAACACAAATTGCAACAAGAATGCAGGTGGAAGTCAAATAGAGAGCATGAAAACAAAGAATCTAGGGTGTGTGTGTGTGTGTGTGTGTGTGTGTGGCCTGCCAAGATATGACAATTTGGATATACAACTTGAAGTGCAGGAGACAATTAATATTAGAACTATATCATTTGGAGGCATATTTAGTGAAAATTCCATTTAGTGGTTAAAACCACAAGATTACAGGTCATTTGGGAATGTTGCAAAGTCAAAGCAGAAGGCCATCTGGTCAGCACTCTGGGATTTACAAGGCAAATAGAGGAACCGAAACCAGCAATACAAATAAAAAATACATTTATTGAGGTTCAATTATTGAGGAGAGAATCACCCTATAAAAGTAAGAATTTTAGAGGATTTCTCAAAAGGACCTTCTCAGATCAAATGCTTTATTAAAAGTTAAAGTAAAATTGCCCCTTCAGATAAAAATACAAAAATTAGTAAGGTATTAATATATGTCAGTCTCAATACATGGCATAGAAATTTAGGTTGGGTCATTTTAGTGTATTGAAGAAGAATAAAGTAGAGACAAAAAAGTAATTTTCCTTTTTAAGAGTACAATAAAACATTTGTAAATGAGAAATTTGTGTTTGAGAAATATCTCCTTTTAAGGATTAGAAAATGAACTTGAACAGTTTGATTTATGGTCTGCTATTGCAAAAAGGAGAGACTGAAGATACAAGAAAGTGAGAAGTAATGAAAAGCAAAATGTTATGGTAGAAGGGAAGGAAGAAAGAAAGAGCCCAGATGGGCATCTCACTTTGAAGCAGGAGAAGGAGAAAGTCTGGAATTGCAGGGAATTAACTTTTCATGAACTAAATTTCTTGGCATATGGTAGTAAAGGCCCAGTGAAATGACTTGAGAGAGCTGGGTGCATAGAGGAGAAAGGAAGATGAGGTATATTATTATATACCTAAAGCATTATGTCTATTATATATTACATATTACATTATAATAATGCAGGAATTTGGAAAGTGTTAAGTTTGGAGAGGTAGAATTGTGTAAGTTACCCCTGAGTCACTTCTTCAAGGTCCTCTGTCTCTCAGAATCTAAGATAAAACTGGGTTCAAGTTCCTAACTAACTCATAACCTGGGAAAATATAACATCCAAACAAAAATCTCTGAAAATTATAGAGTTTATTTAATCCTCTTCTTTCTATCATTGACCATGAATCAATTCAAAACAAACTAGATATCCTTTACTAGCTTTCAGAGAAAATCAAATTATTAAAGTGTGTGCCACTTCTGTTTAATTTAGTACTATTACTCAGCAATCAGAAAAGATAAACACATGCAGTTTACAGCAACATGGATGGAGCTAGAAGGGATCATGCTCAACGAAATAAGTCAGAAAGAAAAAGAAAATACCAGATGGTCTCACTCATAGCAGGAATTTAGAAAACCTAAATAAGAGACCAGGAAAAAGACTAATCAATACAAAGTAAAAATCAAAATCAACAAGCAACTATAAACCAGAGACACATTGGGTGGGAGGGGCAGGGAAAGGAAGGACTAGAGTCAAAATAAGGGGGAGGAGGTGCAATTGTATGGGGAATATAACCAAAATGAAAATGCATACATTGTGCAAAGATGAAAAAAGATGTAAGGATTATATAAAATAAAATATTTAAATAAAAAAAGAAAAAAAAGAAAGCAAACACACACACAGAAGAGTTACCTGACAAACACAGCAAATAAAGAGAATCTGGCTAGGAAAAGAAGTAAAACTACCGCTATTAGTAGATGATATGATATTACACATAGAAAATCCTAAAGATTCCATCAAAAAGATATTAGAAACAATAAATGAATAGAACAAAGTGGCAGGTAACAAAATCAACACACAAAAATCCATAGCCCTTTTATATACAATGAAAAGGAACAAAAGATATTAAGAAAATAATTCCATTTATAATTGTTCCAAAAAAGAACTACATGTCTCAGTCTCAAGTAACAAAGAAGGTAAAAGTCCTACAAAAAGAGAACTCCTAAGATGCCATTAAAAGGCTCAGATAGCAATATCAGGTGATGGAAGGATAACCCCTGCTTATGGATGAGGAGAATCAATGCAATCAAAAGGTCAAAATGGGGCCTCCCCGGTGGCGCAGGGGTTGAGCGCTGGGTTGCGAAGCTGTCCATAGCCTTTGCAGCACAGGTTTGATCACCAGCCACCAGACGAGGGTCCCACAAGGCTCGCAGACCTCTCCTGCCTCCCGCTGCTCCCCTCATCAGTGTACTTGTTCAGTCTGCCTGTTCTGCTCTCCGCTCTGTCCCTGGTGAATTCTCTCACCCTCCCGCGTTTCTGACTGTACCCAGTGCTTGTACAAATGATAAGTAAAATCTTTAAAAAATAAAAATAAAAATAAATGTCAAAATGGCTATCCTGACTAAAATGATGCACAAAAAGAATGCCACACTCTTCAAAATACCAGCAATGTTTTTTAAAGAAATGGAAAAAAAATACTGAAATTTATGTGGAACCATAAAAGCCTCGATTTTAAAAGCAATTCTTAGTAAAAGTGGAGAAATGGAGGTATCACATTACCTACTTCAAACTTGACTATTAAGCAACAGGATTTAAAATATATGGTATCGGCACAAAAATAGATGTATAGACCAATGGAACAGAAGTGAAAGGACACAATGGAGTAAGTCCACACATCTGCTAAAACCTAAACTCTGATAAAGCATCGACAACCATAAAATGGGGGAAAGATAGCCTCTTTAACATATGGTGTTGGGAAAAGTGGAAGCCTGTACATAAAAGAACAAAGTTTCATTGCTAGCTAATACCATACTCAATAAGGAACTGTGAATGGATAACAAATTTATATCTAAGTCCTGCAAGAGTAAAATACATAGAAGTAAACATTGACTTTAAGTCCCAAGATATAAGCAATAAAGATCTATTTGGTGAATCAGCCCCTATGGCGAAGCTGTTAGGCACAAAAATAAATAATTGGGATTGTCTCAAGCTACAAAACTTGCATAAGGTAAAATAAAATATAAGACAATTAAATAGAGAACTTACTGAATGGAAGAAAATATCCACACACTATATAAATAATAAGAGATTAATAGCCAAGTTATATAAATAAACATACAATTCAATGACAACAAAATTTAAAAATGGGCAGCAGATATGAGCAGATATTTTACCAAGAAGGATATCCAGAGGGCCAAAAGACATGAAAAGTGTTCATCATCACTCCTAAAAAGAGAGATGCAGATTAAAACTACAATGAAATACCACTTTATACCTGTTGAGAATGGCACATACTAAAAGGACTTCCAGCAACAAGTATTAGAGAGGATGCAGAGAAAAAGGAACCCTATTACACCATTGGGAATGTGAACTAGTGCAAGCATTGTGGAAAGATACCTGGATTTACCTTAAAAAAAAAAAAAAAGCACTAAAAATGAAAAGAACACACCATGCAGAAATCCCACTTGGGCATATATCCACAGAATGTGAAATAATCAACGCTCCCCCCCACCCCCGCCACCGCCCATGTTCCATAATGTTCTTAGCAGCCTTATTTAAAGAGTAGCCTAAATGTCCATAGACAGATGAGTGAATCCAGGAGATAAGAAAAGATGAAATACAATCGTTGTCAACAAAATGGAGAGAATTTGAGAGAAAAATATGCAGCAAAGTAAATCACAATGATAAGAACAAATATTGGACATATATGTAGCAGATGCTTGGACTATTGACTATTTCTTAACTAGAGAAATGTTTATTATTGTCTTAAAACAAATTCTCATAAATCTAGGAGAATATCTTCCCAAAAATTTATCTTTTCTTTGGAAAAATAATTTAATTTCAAGTTATCGCTGCAAAATAAACTTTTTGTTTTATTCTAGTCAACGAATACAAACATAAAACTGATTTTTACATACTTATGCACTCTCAAGTATATGCCCTTTATTCCTCTTTCCTTTCTCCATTCTATAGTACCTAATTTCAGAGACACGATTCTAGTTTATCCTTTTAAATTTATGCAGGAGAAAAGATTCCTTTCCCACATAGCTGTTGTCACATAATTACCTAAAAAAAAAAAAAAGGTTGAAGCTTAAACTCATGTGGGCTATCTCAGTTGCCTACCCTTTTTCCATTGATGTTATTTCATATTCTTACTTTCCTCTAACCTTAGAGCCATAATTTTTCAGTACCGGATATGATTATCTTCAGAATATCTAGGTCAATAATGTAATCAACATGAGTTAACAAAACCAAACAATGATATGTAATCAACAAATATTTAATTTCCTGATACTGTTAATGATCACCCTGGATCGGGGTGGATTCAATGATAGGTGTTTTTACAAGGAAAATCCCATACACAAGAAGAGAAGACAGATATAAAGAAAAAGGCCTTTGAAGATGGAGGTAAATATTGGAGATTCTTGCCTATGGAGGCACCCAGACACAGAAGCAGCAGGGAAGGACTCTCTTCTGCAACCTTGAGGGAGGGCGAAACTGCCAGTATCTGATTTCAGAATTCTGACCTCCAGAACTCCCAGAGAATAAATTTTTGTTCTTTTAAACCACCAAAATTACCTTAATTTGTTACAGCAGGCTATGACACTATCCCACTCCCTAAGTCTCACTTTTTTTATTTTAATATTTTATTATTGAGATAGCATTGATTTACAGCACTGTGTATGATTAGGGGAATAAATTTACACCTTCTCAGATGTAGATCCGAACACAACAGCCACCACCATAGTACTCCCATCCTAATTAGTGCAGACCACTGGGCGCTGCCCACTTTGTCTCCCCCATAGTATTCCTCCAGTGACCTCAATTCTACAGTCATATTTTTGAGGTTTGCACTGGCTGAGTTTTGTCAGTTCATTTATTTTGTTTCCCTGTGTTTCACATATGAGCAAAATCATCTGGAATGTTTCTTTCTCCTTCTCATTTATTTCACTTAACATTATCATTGCAGTTATACATCCATGTTGCCATAAGTGACAAGATTTCATTTTTTTTAAACAACTGAGTAGTATTCGTGTGTGTGTGTGTGTGTGTGTGTGTGATTTTCTCAATCCACTCCTCTGTTTTGGGGAATTTAGATTGCTTCCATAACTTGGCTATTGTAAATAGTATTACAAGAACCATAGAAGTACATGGTACATAAATCCCTTTGAATTAGTGTTTTTGTATTCTTTGGATAAATATCAAGGAGTGGGATTGCTGGATCATATGATATGTTGTTTTCAATATTTTGAGGAACCTCAATATTATTTTCCAATGGACCAGTCTATATCCTAAGCCTCATTTTGACCTGATTTAGCAGATATTCATTTTCCTAAGCTCAATTTATTTGTCCTTTGTTAGGATCTGTCCGTTTATCACTCCCTAAGGGTATCTCATGTTTTCTATAGCTTAGAAATTCTAAGTGAGAGAACTCTAAGATGTTTAATTATTTAAAATTCAAGTGTCTAAAGGGTTGTCTTGACTATCTCTGCTCCCACATCCTTATTTCTGCCTGTAGCTTCTCTTTGGCGCTACTCACCATTCTTCATTCCTTAGTTTTGGCACAGAAATCCATACCCTATTTAACATCTCTCACCCTCAAGCACCTTTCTTTATTGATATACCTTAATTGTTATGAAATCTTATTTTTTGTCTTTATTATGTTACAATCACTGCCTCAAATCTTCATTCAACATGATCAGGCATATAGCAGACAATCATTTTCAGGGAGTGTGAATACTTTGAATGTGAACACTTTGAATACTTCCTAAACCTTCTATCTAGAAACTATGGCCTCCTACCACAACTATTTTTCAACTCCAATATTTATGCAGCTGGAGTCCATTGGAGTGTTCTGAATTTCCACAGGAAAATATAACTGTGTTTATCTGTTCTAAATGGTTACTTGATCACCATAAATAATACAGATCTCAAAACCTCCATGACTGCTCCAGACCTTTCCTTCTGCTCCATGGCACAACTAAAGTTTCCCCTTTCTTTTCTTTTTTTGTATTTAAATTATATCCAAACCCTCCTAGTATTTCTCATAACTGTGACACCTTCATTTCCATAGACAGCCTCTTTAGTACAGTCCCTCATCTTCCTCCTTGACCTGCACTGTCCTCTGTATATCTTGTGGTTTTCAAGTACGGAGCCAATTAGACTAGAGATTCTTGAATTTGCTATTTGAGAGGGGTGTTTTAAAGCTCCCAAATAATTCTGGTCACAGTCTAGAACTGCTCTAATCTACTTTACCCTTAAGATCCTGCTAGGAAAATATTCAAATGCCAGTTGCATAAAGTCATTTACCAGGTGTGTGAAATCTAAATTCCTGAATCTCCCCATGTATTCCAATCTAATCTCGTGCTATAATTTACCTTGACAGCCTCCTCTCTGCCAATCTATTGGGTTGTCAGAAAAGTCGGGATGCATTTTTTTAACAGATACATAGAAAAATTAAATCATGACTTTTCCAACAACCCAATAATTTCCTCCTATTCTTTGTGTCTAAAAAAATTATCCCCCTAGCCCCACTAACAAACATACACATGGAGAACTGTGATCTGGTAAAGTATTTTTGTAGATATTTATGGACATGAGTTTGTCTAAGAGGTATAAATTTTCCACAGGGAAACACTGGACACTGGAAATGTTTGAAAGTTTATAAAAACAGTGTGTAGAATATTTGAAATAAAGTCATACCCTTGCTCAAAGCCAGAATGCTTATTTATTCACTCAACTGTGTCTTCTTCAGAGAAGTTTTGAGGTAAATGTATACAGTATGTAGCTAAGCTTGCTAAATGAGCATCTTCAGAACAGCTGACATGAAGGAACAGCCCTTCTGTAACTTATCTTTTTTACAAAAAGATTTATTTATTTATGCATACAAGAACTGGGGTACAGGCCAGAGCTGCAGGAGGTGAGAGGATTCACCTGAGACAAAGCAAAGCAATATTTACTCATGCTCTTGGCAACTTCAGTTTGTATTTCCCAACTTGTGACCACTTGTTATCTTGTGACAGAATCTTTCTGATTGGTGAAGCAATTCAGAAAAGTTTCTGATAAAAATTTTCTTCCTTCTTCGCTTCCCAGAAAGATGACATTTACAATTCTCTCATAAAAGAAACTAAAACCGAAACAAAGAACTGCAGTTTTGGAAGTGTGACATGTAACTATGATAGAGTAGACCCAGGCTGGGAAATGTTTTATATCAACTCAGGAATCAGAAATTTCTTCTAATGGAAGATAAGGTCTGATTCTGAATATAATAAGCACTTGATGCTGTTATCTTTTCTCATCTGGTTTTCCTTTTTATGAAAAAGTAGACAAGAAAGATGGCAACTCTATAATTGTAGCTCTTTCCAACCTTCACCTATTTTATTGTAATTTTCCCCAGTTTAAGTGTACATATTTAATTCCAATAGGAGTTCACTTTTGTCTGCTTCTCTCTCCTACTAGCGAATCAAGATAAATAAATTGACCTGTCCATATAATGTATCTAAATTCTGATCTGTTCTTGATAACCACAGATCTATTCCTAAATTTATTAGACTAATTGGCAATCTATTTTTTAACAGAAAAAAAATTGTCATTAAAACACTTCATTTTTTAAAAATTGATTGAAGGTTAATTGCAGTAACTAAACTACATATAATTGAAGTATACAATTTGGTAAGTTTTGACCATAACTAAAGTAGCCATTTCCATTACTCCCCAAAGATTTCATGCTTCCCCTTTGTAATCTAATCCTTTCTCCACTTTTCCCCATGTAGTCAATAATCTGATGTCTGTTGCTATAGTCATTTGAAATGTCTAGAATTTTATACACGTGGAATCACATGGCATGCACTGTTTTTTGCTATTTGCCTTTTTTCATTTAACATGATTATGAAATTGACTCATACTGTAGTATCAACAGTTTGTTCCTTTTTATTGCTTAGTAGCATTCCACTGAGGTAATGTTGATTTACAACATTGTATATAATTCAGAGGTAAGAGTTCACACCTATTCAGATATGTTACCACACCACACCCACCGAAGTGCACCCATAATCTTTCACTATAGTCCATTTTGTGTAATTCCCTTTTTTCCCCCACACTGATAACCTCAGTTACACTGAACTATCCTTTGCTGTAGCTGTCGCTTATTTTTTTGTTAGTAATTATTTTTTAAGTTATTTGTAGCCTCTTTCCCAACCCTATCACTTTGTATATACATTCCATCTTTTTCTTTGAACATCAAACAAACAAAAAAATCAGCATCTCAAGGAAGCTCTTCTGACCTGACCCAGGGTTCTATTCTTACCAGAGGATTTGGAAGAAGAAATCCATAATCTTCAGAAATGTGAAATCTTCCTAAAGACAATGATGGTGTTGTCTTCAAATTCTGTCTTTGGGGTTCCATAATTTTCTTTAAAGAATCTGTGCTGAAGCAGCTGCTACCCCAAATGTATCAAAACTCAGAGTAAAGGGAGTTTCAAAATAGCATCTTTTTGTTGAAGTTAGTTATTCAGTAGTTTAAGCCACAGGGAGAACCTTGGCCTGAGGTTGAATTCCAGACTGCCATGGACCTTCTGACACAAGACTGAGCAAACAAACTCTGATTAAAAGAAACAGGCAAACAAAACAACCTCAGAAAATGAAGTTTCCTTTCTTTTCATATACGTGTAAATGAGAAGATTGGTTATAATCCGAGAGACAAATCTATTCTACTTTAGAAAAGAAGAAATGAATTAGAACTTTGGTTATGGTTAATTCCAAAATTCTTGAAAGCAATCTGGTCTTTGATGAGGTTTGACAATTGGACCCGTATCACAAATGATTAAACTATTAAAACTAGACACTTATTCAGATATTTCAGTGATTACTGATGAATTGGGTGAGCAGAAGTACTCACAATGCAAATTAGAAACATAGAAGTTTTCTGTATATAGTTTGAATAACATATAGCCATTTTATTTTACTTTATTATTATTTTTTAAAGATTTATTTTATTTATACAAGAGCTGGGGTACAGGCCAGATGTGCGGGAGGGTGAGAGGATTCACCAGAGACAGAGCAGAGAACAGAACAGGCAGACTGATGAAATACACTGCTGAGGGGAGCAGCGGGCAAGACAGGAGAGGTCTGCTTTACCATGTGGGTTGCTCTGAGGCTGGTGGGGATTGAACCGGCACTGCAGAGGCTATGGACAGATTCAGAGTGCTGTGCTCAACTGCCTGCTTCACCAGGGAGGCCCATCATATACCCATTTAAAAAAAATTTTTGATCACATAAAGATATACTTGAACTGTATGTATACATATATATGTATATTTGTGTGTGTGTGTGTGTGTGTGTATGAGATCAATTAAATATATACACACACTTCAGTAATGGCTAATCATATATATATATAAATCATATATTTATAATAAATGAGGTAATTAATGGGTGCCAACAAATGAGAAGAACTTGAGCAGAGTATTTTTATCAAACAAACATCTTTTAAGAATCTACCACTTAGAGGGCAATGTTACTTGTGAAGTAAGTGCTACAGCCCCACTTTACAGATTAGTAAGCCCAGACACATGCATATAAGTAACCCTGTCCATTATCATTCCACCAATTATCAGCGGAGTGATGACTAGCATTGAGGTATCTTGATTTCCAAACCATTGTTCACTAGATCAGGCTGTGAGGTTATTTTTCAAAGATGCCATCATAGTTTGAATTAACTTTAATGTGAAGTCAGTGATAAATTTCCAAACACTGCTCTGCACGATGGACATTTTGAAAACTGTTTCATTTATCCAGTGAACCCCAAAATTAGATCATGAGGTTGTAAACAAATTTATCTGGAAGAAAATTTACACACATTTCCATCTTCCTCCCTTTCTTTAAGATGAATATGAAATTAAAAAGTAATAAATGCTCTGATAATTAATTCTAAAAGATCTCACAGAGGGTTCATGTTTGAAGACTGTATTTCAAAAGTAATTAAGTGGAAAAAAAAGGTAAAGTAGTTTAGTGGGTTCGTAGTTCATTAGTGATTCATTTGTGGTTCACCTAAGAACTACACTCTGTTGGCCACTTCCCCTCAATTCAATAACCAATCAATTCAACCTTCAGTCTTTTATGCCTTCTAAAATGCAGCTTCTCAAATGTTGTATGTTTAATTATTGTCTTGTCCTTTCCTTCAGTCTCAGATGAAAAAATTACCCAGGTTTTTTTTATGCTAGTTAGGTTATTTTTCATTCATTCCCTTTGTACCGTCTCAAGTGTTTACTTTGTCATAAAAGCATAGAACAATAAAATATTAAAAATGAAGGGAATATTACAGAATAAAAGTATCTACTCAAATATCCTCATTTAAACATAAGAGAAAACTGAAATTTATGGGAGTGAAATGACTTATCAAAGGTCAATCTTGGACATACCAGAATTGGATTGTAATCCTGACTTTCTGCCTCTCGGTCTACAACATTTCAATAGTTAACATAGCCAGTTGTCACTATATGTGAATCTCTATCACCTATTAGCTATGTGACTTTTTTTTTTAAAAATTTATTTGTTTATGCATACAAGAACTGGGGTACAGGCCAGAGGTAGAGGGAGTGAGAGGATTCACCAGAGACAGTGGGGAACAGAACAGGCAGATTGACTGAAGTACACTGCTGAGGGGAGCACCGGGCAAGTCAGGAGAGGTCTGCTGTACCATGTGGGTTGCTGCTTCCGTGGGGATCGAACTTCTGCTGCAGAGACTGTGTATAAATTCACAGTGCTGTGCTTAACCCTTTGCACAACCAGGGAGACCCCTGTTACACCACTCTAAACTCAGGCCACTAAGGGACACAGTGGGCACACCTTCATGAAGATTTGCTTAGTATCTTTTTGAAGAGGAAGTTGGTTAAACATACACACCCAGCAATTTCCTCTCTCTCTTTTTTTAAAGATTTATTTATTTATGCATATAAGAACTGGGTACAGGCCAGAGGTGTAGGGGTGAGAAGATTCACCAGAGACAGAATAGGGAGCAGAACAGGCAGATTTACTGAAAAACACTGCTGAGGGGAGCAGCAGGCGAGTCAGGAGAGGTTTGCTGTGCCGTGTGTGTCACCGACCTGGTCAGGGATGGAACTCATGCTGCAGTTCACTCATTCCTCATAGTGCTGTGTCTTAACACCTTGCACCACCAGGGAGGCCCCCAATTTCCTCTCTTAACAGTAAAAATTAGAATTTAAGAATTCTGGGTTCTTATAATCAGCTTTCCCATGAATCACAGTAGTTTCAGATACAACAAGGGTTCTAATTCTCCTAGATGAGGACTTTCTGGAAATGGACCCAAGATTATTCAGTAAGAAATTCAAAATTAAAATTTATGAGATGTCAATTATGTTTACTGATGGCAACATGAGATATACTTATACCCAGTTTCAGATGGATAAAGCCCAAAATCTGAGTTGCCAAAAACAACTAGCCCAAACAATAATAGCGCACTGAGACTGTTCTTATAAAGCTCATTAATTTCTTCTTTGTTTTTAAATTGTATAGGACTTCCTAGTTTGTCCCTTGATTAAATTTTCAGGCATCTTATATTTTGCCTACTTCTCTTTTTTTTTCATTTCTTTCTTTTTTATTAGCTCATTTCTCTTCCTTACATTTCCTGAGACATTTATTCCTTCTTGAATTGGTTATATGTATTAGGAAAAAACTAATAGCTGACACTGATTATTTTTTGTTTGTTTGTTTCATGACCCAAAACATCTTCCATGTAATCTCATTTAACCTTCATGATATACCTGTGGATTAGGGACTATATTTCCCACAATTAAGTTCAAGAAACTGTAGCTCAGAAAATTTAAGTTACAGGCTTAAAGTCATACTTTTTGCAAGTGACTTTTGGACTGGAGCACAATCTGACTTTAAAATCATTTCTTCTTCATACTAGAAGTATGTCTTACCTTTTTGATTATCATTCTCATTATTCTGGTTATGATTTATTGTTGATAATTTCCATAGTTGATCTCCCCCTCTTCTGACTTTGTTCCCTCTTCCTGGATGATCTCATCCATTCAAAAACATCAACCATTTGCTCTAAGTTGATGATGCCCAACATTGTTTTTCTCATTGTTTATCTCTCCTGTTATTTATAAGACAACTTTGCTTGATTGCTCTACAGTGGCTTTGGATGAATTATCTTAACATATCAAATATGTAATATATGCTTTCCATTAAGGGAGGGGTGAGGGATTATAAGCCTTCCATCAATGTGCTGAACAGATATCCCACAGCCTAGTGATAGGTTTAAACTATGCTGATCACTTATTATCTCAAAATAAGTTCAAAGTGCCTCATTCTCCTCCATCCTGTGTCTTGGTAAATGGTATTTCACAGAACCAGCAACATAATTTGAAAGACCAGTAAAGAATGAAAAGATAAGGGACTTCTTCAAAGTTAAGAATTTCAAGGCACTGAAAGTAGAAGTTTTTACTATTCCAAATGAAGAATCCTGTTGCAGGCAAGGACCTGTTTGACTACATAGCTTGTGTATATATAAGCTTGCTCTATTATCTGTTACCACAGCTGACCGGTTAGAGACCTGCAGTTGTGTCTCCATCATATCCAACAGTACACAAATCTTTCTAGGCCTTCTGTCTTCATATTTTTCATGTTTTCTTTTATTCCTGAACCCCTTAGTCCTTTACCATTAACTATTGGGATATTATATCTTAATAAATCCCTGACTGATCTCTCTCCCTTAAATCTAATCCAATAAAATTTGCCCATCATTTTAGACTAGAGTCCCTTAATCATTATAACTCTACAATCTAACTCAGAAACTAGCATACCATGTTTGACTATCAAGTGATTATTGAACAAATGAGTAATTATGGCAGATATTTTAATACTTATGGTGTTAGGTCTAATCCCATTAATGAAACAATACTTTGAATCAACTTGGTACTCATATATTCTTCTTTGGATAGTCAGTGTCAAAAATATATCGCTCAGTTCTATGATGTAAAGATGAGAAAGTGTAGATCCTATTTATAAAGAATTGAAACAACACATAAAATAAGACATATACACACAGTCTCACATCACACACACACATACACAGCCATAATCACAAAAGAGTAACATGTACTGAAAAATAATTCTTAAAAATTATGGAAACAGGGCCTCCCCGGTGGCACAGTGGTTGAGCGCTGGGTTGCGAAGCTGCCCACTGCCTCTGCTGCTCCGGTTCGATCTCCGGCTGCTCCCTGGCCACCGAAGGAGGGTCCCACATGGCGTGCAGAACTCTCCTGCCACCCGCTGCTCCCCTCAGCAGTGTACTTCGGTCCTTCTGCCTGCTCTGCTCCCCGCTCTGGCTCTGGTGAATTCTCTCACCCTCCCGCGCTCCTGACTGTACCCAGTGCT